ATAGTTTGGCCAGGTGGAGACCATAGAGTGGGCTAGTTTGTGGACGGACCCTATCATGCTATTAGCGAGACATTGCACACTGATTTATTTAGCGAGAGATTGCTCACGATGCTACAGTGTGCTATTAGTGGCGCTATAGCGCGCTATTTTTTTCACTGGCCCACAGTGACCATTGGTATATCTTGTTCCGATGGTCATTTGGCCAGGTGGAGGCCGTAAAGTGGGCTAGTTTGCGGGCGGCGGTCCCAGTTCTTGAGGACTATTCGGACACCGTATCATGGCATCTTGCATCTTCGGGTTTTTTCTCTGTCGACTCAACATATATTGCCCTATGCTGGCGTCCGACCATTGCTTAAACCAGTCCGCTCTGGAAATCGCACTTAACATTGAAAAGATAAAAAATTGTGTTTGACAATTGCTGGGAAGAGGTGATCAAGAGGCATGACCTTGGGAAGGGTTGTGTCCTTTTTTTGGCGTTCTGGAAACGAGGACCACATCATTTCTTTTGGACAATGTCTAGAGTTCTTTGGAGTTTTGTCCTTGAAACCCTGGACCTTGCAGGGTTCCTTCAGACCCGTGCCTACCAGGTGGCAGTACGAGGCACCTCTTCTGGCTGATGTTTGAACCGTTAGCATGGATTTCGTGGAGTACGTACAATAAGATGGTGATTGAGCATGTCTTTCTTAGGAGGACATCTGACTTAATCTTTAAATTCCTTGCATTTTTGCAGCGCTGTCACCCGTTGTATAGACAGTGCGACCGCGATCGACTGGGCCTTATGATGGATGCGATGCATGGTGCTGCTCACCAACTTGCCTCGGTGCAGCCGCGGGCGGGCGTGCTGGTGAGCTGCCGTAGCCATCGCGTGCGGGCCTAGCACAGCTGGCCGTGTTACCGTCGTTGTGTAGCTAGCCCATTTGGCCTTATTGCCGTCGTTGTGTTGCTAGCCCAGCTGGTCGTCCTGTCCCCACCCCTGCGCTTCCCGTTGCGCGCGCCCGCCTCGCCAGTTCTGGCCAGCGCCCCCGCCTCGCTTGCTCCGGCCAGTGCCCGCCCCGGCCTCACCAGCTCCGGCCAGCGCCCCCGCCTCGCTAGCTCCGGCCACGTCTGCCCCGCTAGCTCCGGCCAGCACCCGCCCTGGCCTCACCAGTTCCTGCCTCGCCCGCCCGGAGTACATGGAGAGCGTAGAAGACGCCGAGGAGAGAGGGAGCGTGGGCCTGGAGAGGAGAAAGGGAGTCTGCTCTTGCACGTGAGTGGGCCAGGAGAAGAGAAAAGGAGTTGGAAACACTGCCAGTGGACCATTTGCATGCAAAAGTTAGTGCCGGCGCCCCCAGCTGCCCCCAGGTTGTTGGGGTTCGCCTGAGATCGCCGGTTGTATTTTTGGACAAAATCGGCGCAAATCAAGGCCTTGGGGCGTGGCTGGGCGCTTTTTTTTACTGCCGACGCCTAAAAAGTGGCTTGGGGGGGGCGTCTTGGGACCCTACTGGAGATGCTCTTACTAGTCTATGTTATTGTCTTTATAGTGAGGAGTAACATATGTGTAGTACTCATCTTATCTTGGTATGTGTGATGTTACTCATACTATTAGTAACTAGCTATGTTACCACATGTCTTTCTTTCTTCATTAAATGCTTGCCACATCATCTATTTTATCTAAATATGTGTGATGTTACCATCTAGTATGTTACTCGCACTATGGGTAGTCTTATCGTCTACCAATTGAATCAGTTCTATCTATTCAGCTGGATAAATTGAGCATTAAGTTCAAGACATTAATGGGGAAAGCCGAAAATCATAATGCACTAGCAATAGTTTGGCCAGGTGGAGACCATAGAGCGGGCTAGTTTGTGGACGGACCCTATCGTGCTATTAGCGAGACATTGCACACTGATTTATTTAGCGAGATATTGCTCACGATGCTACGGTGTGCTATTAGTGGCGCTATAGCGCCCTATTTTTTTCACTGGCCCACAATGACCATTGGAATATCCTGTTCCGATGGTCATTTGGCCAGGTGGAGGCCGTAAAGTGGTCTAGTTTGCGAGCGGCGGTCCCAGTTCTTACGGACTATCCGGACACCGTATCATGGCATCTTGCATCTTCGGGTTTTTCTCTGTCGACTCAACATATCTTGCCCTATGCTGGCGTCCGACCATTGCTTAAACCAATCCGCTCTGGAAATCGCACTTAACATTGAAAAGATAAAAAAATTGTGTTTGACAATTGCTGGGAAGAGGTGATCAAGAGACATGACCTTGGGAAGGGTTGTGTCCTTTTTTTGGCGTTCTGGAAATGAGGACCACATCATTTCTTTTGGACAATGTCTAGAGTTCTTTGGAGTTTTGTCCTTGAAACCCTGGACCTTGCAGGGTTCCTTCAGACCCGTGCCTACCAGGTGGCAGTATGAGGCACCTCTTCTGGCTGATATTTGAACCGTTAGCATGGATTTTGTGGAGTACGTACAATAAGATGGTGATTGAGCATGTCTTTCTTGGGAGGACATCTGACTTAATCTTTAAATTCCTTGCATTTTTGCAGCGCTGTCACCCGTTGTATAGACAGTGCGACCGCGATCGACTGGGCCTTATGATGCATGCGATGCATGGTGCTGCTCACCAACTTGCCTCGGTGCAGCCGCGGGCGGGCGTGCTGGTGAGCTGCCGTAGCCATCGCGTGCGGGCCTAGCACAGCTGGCCGTGTTGCCGTCGTTGTGTAGCTAGCCCATTTAGCCTTATTGTCGTCGTTGTGTTGCTAGCCCAGCTGGTCGTCCTGTCCCTGCCCCTGCGCTTCACGTTGCGCGCGCCCGCCTCGCCAGTTCTGGCCAGCACCCCTGCCTCGCTTGCTCCGGCCAGTGCCCGCCCCGGCCTCACCAGCTCCAGCCAGCGCCCCCGCCTCGCTAGCTCCGGCCACGTCTGCCCCGCTAGCTCCGGCCAGCACCCGCCCTGGCCTCACCAGCTCCTGCCTCGCCCGCCCGGAGTACATGGAGAGCATAGAAGACGCCGAGGAGAGAGGGAGCGTGGGCCTGGAGAGGAGAAAGGGAGTCTGCTCTTGCACGTGAGTGGGCCAGGAGAAGAGAAAAGGAGTTGGGAACACTGCCAGTGGACCATTTGCATGCAAAAGTTAGTGCCGGCGCCCCCAGCTGCCCCCAGGTTGTTGGGGTTCGCCTGAGATCGCCGGTTGTATTTTTGGGCAAAATCGGCGCAAATCAAGGCCTTGGGGCGTGGCTGGGAGCTTTTTTTTACTGCCGACGCCTAAAAAGTGGCTTGGGGGGCGTCTTGGGACCCTAGTGGAGATGCTTTTACTAGTCTATGTTATTGTCTTTATAGTGAGGAGTAACATATGTGTAGTACTCATCTTATCTTGGTATGTGTGATGTTACTCATACTATTAGTAACTAGCTATGTTACCACATGTTTTTCTTTCTTCATTAAATGCTTGCCACATCATCTATTTTATCTAAATATGTGTGATGTTACCATCTAGTATGTTACTCGCACTATGGGTAGTCTTATCGTCTACCAATTGAATCAGTTCTATCTATTCAGCTGGATAAATTGAGCATTAAGTACAAGACATTAATGGGGAAAGCCGAAAATCATAATGCACTAGCAATAGTTTGGCCAGGTGGGGACCATAGAGCGGGCTAGTTTGTGGACGGACCCTATCGTGCTATTAGCGAGACATTGCACACTGATTTATTTAGCGAGATATTGCTCACGATGCTACGGTGTGCTATTAGTGGCGCTATAGCGCACTATTTTTTTCACTGGCCCACAATGACCATTGGAATATCTTGTTCCGATGGTCATTTGGCCAGGTGGAGGCCGTAAAGTGGGCTAGTTTGTGAGCGGCGGTCCCAGTTCTTGGGACTATCCGGACACCATATCATGGCATCTTGCATCTTCGGGTTTTTCTCTGTCGACTCAACATATCTTGCCCTATGCTGGCGTCCGACCATTGCTTAAACCAATCCGCTCTGGAAATCGCACTTAACATTGAAAAGATAAAAAATTGTGTTTGACAATTGCTGGGAAGAGGTGATCAAGAGGCATGCCCTTGGGAAGGGTTGTGTCCTTTTTTTGGCGTTCTGGAAACGAGGACCACATCATTTCTTTTGGACAATGTCTAGAGTTTTTTGGAGTTTTGTCCTTGAAACCCTGGACCTTGCAGGGTTCCTTCAGACCCGTGCCTACCAGGTGGCAGTATGAGGCACCTCTTCTGGCTGATGTTTGAACCGTTAGCATGGATTTTGTGGAGTACGTACAATAAGATGGTGATTGAGCATGTCTTTCTTAGGAGGACATCTGACTTAATCTTTAAATTTCTTGCATTTTTGCAGCGCTGTCACCTGTTGTATAGATAGTGCGACCGCGATCGGCTGGGCCTTATGATGGATGCG